AGTGCCAACCCTTCGAGAAAAAAATCGCTAATGGCTTATGAAATGAAGAAAGAGATAATTGCAAAGTACGAAAGTGGAGTGTGTGTGTCGGAGCTGGTCAGGTTGTATAATAAACCCCAATCAACCATCTCTACTATAGTGACCAGGAAAACGGCAATCTAGGAAGCTGTTCTTGCAAAAGGTGCAACTGTGATTACGAAACAGCGACCGGAAGTGTTAGAAAATGTTGAGAGATTGTTACTGGTGTGGATAAATGAAAAACAGATAGCAGGAGATAGCATCTCTCAAGCGATCATTTGTGAAAAGGCTAGGCATTTGCATGACGATTTGGTAAAGAAATTGCCTGCAACTAGTGGTGATGTGAGTGAATTTAAGGCCAGCAAAGGTTGGTTTGAAAGATTTAAGAATTGTAGTGGCATACATAGTGTGATTAGGCATTGGGGAGGCTGCCAGTTTTTGTTGTGCGCAGAAGTCCAGCGACTCTCAAGCTGGTCCTATGGCATTAAAAGAAAAGGGAAGTAACCCCGGAAAAGGACTTGCTACCTCCCAAATCCTTATGGAAGGGGATTCCCCTTCTAAACACTAACACCTCTCCCCTCCTCCCATCCCATCAATCATCACCAGATCTTCATTAAAGGTAAGTGTCAATTATTTTATTGTTATTGTAATTATTCTATTGCATTAAACTTAATATTTCATGTAGTAAAAAATTTTTTTGTCATACTTTTGGGTGTCTTGCACGGATTAATTTGATTTCCATTATTTCTTATGAGGAAAATTGATTCGGTTTTCGATATTATCGGTATTCGATGAGCTCTCAGGAATGGATTAATATCGAATACCGGGGGTCCACTGTATATGGAATAGGTAGTAAGTTACTAAATGCTGTAAAGAGTTTTTATGAGGATAGTGAGGCTCAGGTTAGGGTGTGTAGAAGAGAGGGAGACACTTCCCAGTAAAAGTAGGTCTTAGACAGGGATGTGTAATGTCACCATTGTTGTTTAATATATTTATAGATGGGGTTGTAAAAGAAGTAAATGCTAGGGGGTTCGGGAGGGGTGAGATTAAATTATGGGGAATCAAATACAAAATGGGGATTGACAGTTACTTTTTGCTGATGATACTGTACTTATGGGAGTTTCTAAAGAAAAATTGCAAAGGTTAGTGGACGAGTTTGGGAGTGTGTGTAAAGATAGAAAGTTGAAAGTGAGCATAGAAAAGAGTAAGGTGATAAGGGTATCAAATGATTTAGATAAAGAAAAATTGGATATCAAATTGGGGAGGAGGAATATGGAAGAAGTGAATGTTTTCAGATATTTGGGAGTTGACTTGTCGGTGGATGTATTTATGAAGGATGAGGTTAATCATAGAATTAATGAAGATAAAATGGCGAGTGGTGTGTTTGAGGAGACAAACGTTATCTATGGAGGCAAAGAAGGGAATGTATGAAAGTATAGTAGTACCAACACTCTTATATGGTTGTGAAGCTTGGGTTGTAAATGCTGCAGTGAGGAGGTGGTTGGAGGCAGTGATGTCCTGTCTAAGGGCAATGTGTGGTGTAAATATTATGCAGAAAATTCGGTGTGGAAATTAGGAGAAAGTGTGGAGCTACTAAAAGTATTAGTCAGAGGGCTTAAGAGGGGTTGTTGAGGTGGTTTGGTCATTTAGAGAGAATGGATCAAAGTAGAATGACATGGAGAGCATATAAATCTGTAGGGGAAGGAAGGCGGGGTAGGGGTCATCCTCGAAAAGGTTGGAGGGAATGCGTAAAAGAGGTTTTGTGGGTGAGGGGCTTGGACTTCCAGCAAGCGTGCGTGAGTGTGTTAGATGGGAGTGAATGGAGGCGAATGGTATTTGGGACGTGACGAGCTGTTGGAATGTGAGCAGGGTAATGTTTAGTGAAGTGGTTCAGGTAAACCGGCTATTTTTATATAGCCGGACTTGAGTCATGGAAATGGGAAGTACAATGCCTGCACTTTAAATTAGGGGTTTGAGATATTGGCAGTTTTGAGGGATATGTTGTGTCTTTATACGTATACGCTTGTAAACTGTTGTATTCTGGTCACCTCTGCAAAAACAGTGATTGTGTGAGTGAGGTGAAAGTGTTGAATGATGATGAAAGTATTTTCTTTCTGGGGATTTTCTTTCTTTTTGGGTCACCCTGCCTCGGTGGGAGACGGCTGACTTGTTTAAAATAAAAAATACATATTTTTTTAATGACTTAATGGCTGTCTCTTTCTAAGGAAGAGTGACTCAAAAAAAAGAAAACACACTCACCAACATTTATTCAGTCACCATCTTTCCAGAAGTGTACTGGCATGACCCTCAGGTTATCCTGGGATTGCAGCATCATCACCTTTCCTTCACAGTGCAGGCATTTTTTTTTTTGCCTAGGACTCAAGTCTGGCTTACTGGTTACCCTGAATCCCTTCATAAAAGTTATACTACTTGCAGTCCAGCAGCACTTCCATTATAAACCACTTATCTCCATTTGCTCCTTTCTAACATGCTCACTCAAGTCTGCTGGATGCTCAAGCCTCTAAAACCCAAAGCCTCTTTGTATCCTTCTCCCTTCAGTCATTCCTGGGATGACCCCCTTCCTGCCCCACCTTCAACCCCAGATTTTTCACCCTCTTCATCAACTTATCCATGTCCATTGTTTTATATTAAATGCATTTTGTTTTATCAGATGAATTGATTTCATGAATACAGTGGTCCCTTGAGTTACAGTATTTATCCTTGCTAGACTATCATAATAAAAACTATCATAACTTAAACCCCAAAATACATGGTTTTATGGTAATTCATTCCAAGATCCTGGAAGTGTAACTTTTACTGTACCTTATACACAGTCAGATACAACTTTTAGGCACTATCTCCCATCCTCTGCTTCTCTCTTATCCATATTTGCAAAATTTCTTCTGTATATAATAATTTCTCTGCATTTTTTTAACTAGCTTAGATTTGTTAGCCACTTTAATATTCTTTATTATTTCTTGTTGCTTGATAATAGTAGAGAAGATTGTTTTTGGAATGCCATACTCATGCACCAGTTCACTAATTTCATGCTTGAACTCCAGAGAAATGGCCTATATACTGTGCACTTTAGGGGCTATGATGCTGTATTAACTCAAGATAGTGCTATTATGACACATGCAGTTTTAAAGGGTAAATAATCCAGAATTTGTGTGAAAACAAATAAACTGTAGTACAAACTCTGCTATTGGCTAAGGGGCTACCATAGACACATTCAGTCTTGATGCTGAGTGGCTGCTAGGCCACCCTCACAGAACTCTACTCATATTCACTCAGACATTCTAAGCTGCAAGCTACTGGGTCACTGGTAAGTTAAGGCCCACCCACACAAAAACTGATATTTATATTGGCTCAAATGCTACCAAAGAGACAAACTACCACTTTGCTGGTCTACCGAGGGCCACCCATGCCTGCCTACTATAATAATAATACAGTAATAATGTTGATAATGTGTGCATTATCAACAACATTATAATAATAATAGTCATTAGGGCAGAAGAGGGGTTGTTGAGGTGGTTTGGTCATTTAGAGAGAATGGATCAAAGTAGAATGACATGGAAAGCATATAAATCGATAAGGGAAGGAAGGCGGGGTAGGGGTCGTCCTCGAAAGGGTTGGAGAGAGGGGGTAAAGGAGGTTTTGTGGGCAAGGGGCTTGGACTTCCAGCAAGTGTGCGTGAGCGTGTTGGATAGGAGTGAATGGAGACGAATGGTACTTGGGACCTGACGATCTGTTGGAGTGTGAGCAGGGTAATATTTAGTGAAGGGATTCAGGGAAACCTGTTATTTTCATATAGTCGGACTTGAGTCCTGGAAATGGAAGTACAGTGCCTGCACTTTAAAGGAGGGGTTTGGGATATTGGCAGTTTGGAGGGATATGTTGTGTATCTTTATATGTGTATGCTTCTAAACTTTTGTATTCTGAGCACCTCTGCAAAAACAGTGATAATGTACGAGTGTGGTGAAAGTGTTGAATGATGATGAAAGTATTTTTCTTTTTGGGGATTTTCTTTCTTTTTTGGGTCACCCTGCCTTGGTGGGAGACGGCCGACTTGTTGAAAAAAAAAAAATGTAATAATAATATAATTCAGTCAGACCACTGCTGTAAAGTGAATCACGCCACTGCCCCCCTCCCTCCCTCCTTCCCTCCCACCCTCCTCCTTCCCTCTTTCCCTCCCTCCCTCCCTCCTCCTTCCCTCTTTCCCTCCCTCCCTCCCTCCAGCCGCTGCTGCCAGTGCATGTAAAAGCTGAAAAGCCTGTTTACACTATCATTTATTAAGTGAACAATAATGCTAGACAAAAAGAAAAAAAAAGATGCAAAACTAAAAATAATAAAGAAAAAATAAGGCACCATTCAGCTGATGCATTCATTACTGCCCAAAATAATGAATATGAATGTAATTGAAAGTGACGTATTAGCAATGTATGCATGTAATAGTAATTATGATCTTTATATCTACAAGTACATGATACAACTATTATAGACTTAGCTGGCATTTTTGACTTACTACTGTATATAAAAAGCCCCAGGTTATGCAGTGTGTTTTGGGCGACTTGGGTTAATCTTGTTTCCCAGGATGCAACCCACAGCAGTCATACCATTGTATCCATATTGTATCTCCAATTTTGAATTGCAACTCCAAACAAAATTTCTCTTTGAGGGTAGATCATCACTCCAAATTATTGTAACTCCATGGGCCACTGTTTTTCATTTTTGTGCATTTTGGTTTGGTAAAGGTTGGCTGACAATTGTGGAAAAAACAATTGATTTTAAACTGAAGCTCAAATTTTTTCTTTGTGTATCAGATGTATTAATTTTTCTGGTGTGAAACAGGAGCCTTTTTAACAATTTGAGTTCTTATAGTACTAGAAAAGAAATTCTCATAATGTTTTATTCTCTTTCTTTGCTTGCAAACATTGTCGTGATATATTTTAATTTCTTCTACAAATATATTATTTCTTCAGCTTCAACTTGAGGAGCTGCGGCAGTACCTTTTGGAAAGTAAACCAGAAAACCACACAATTGAAGAATCATTTGAGGCACCATCACCCATGAATTTTGCCGAGGAATCCTCTTCACCTACAAAATCCCGTATGTTTATTCAGTGTACATGTGTTCATTAATTATTGATGCTGAACACTTCAGTGAGTTGTGTGGATGCCTGTCTCCATTTTGTAGTAAATTATTTTTATTATTCTTCAGAATTTTCCAAATTCAAAACAGCATTAGTCTTTGCCTCTTGGTTATAAGTTTAAAGCAATTAGGAAGTTTTTCTGTTAATTGCTCATCACTATAATTAGATTTCCTTGGAAATCTGATGCTCCTTAAAGATTGCACTTTGCATCTAAAATTTTATATTGAGTTTATTTAAGTTTTGTAAAAGTAAGGCCACCTTTATATTTTGCTTACCAGGGATTTTTTCAGATTTTAATTTCAGGTATAAGAATTAAAACATAATTAAGATGTAACATTTAACCCTTTGACTGTTTTCAACGTATAAATACGTCTTACGAGCCAATGTTTCTGACGTATATATACTCAATAATTCTAGCGGCTTCAAATCAAGCGGGAGAAAGCTGGTAGGCCCACATGTGAGAGAATGGGTCTGTGTGGTCAGTGTGCACCACATAAAAAAAATCCTGCAGCACACATTGCGTAATGAGAAAAAAAAATCTCTGATCGTTTTTTTGGAATAAAACGCCGACTTTAAGGTGTATTTTCGTATAGTATTTATCGTTGTATTCACATTTTCATGGTCTTAGGTGATAAAATGGAAAACATATAACAGAAATAGAGTTAATTTTCATTACTTTGACGATGAAAACGACCTTGAAACTGAGCTCAAAGTAGCGGAAATGTTCGAATTTTACCAATGTTCAGGAGTAAATAAATCACACCACACGTCCAATACACGTCAACTGGGGAGTCTAATATTCTTTCACTAGTGCACTGATATTATTTATACGATTTTTACAATAATGCAGTAGTCTGCATAACAGTAAATTTTGTATTTTTTTGTATAAATAAAAAATCGAAATAGAAAGCAATAATAATATAAGAGGGGCCTAGAGATGTGACTAATGAACAGAGCATATGTTATTTTAGTGCCACGAATGTCTACCTTGTTTATTCTGGACCCTATTTTGAAATTGGCATCTTTTTTAGTTTGCTTGAAATTGGCCAAATTGCCAATTTCTGACCACCATATTGGGTAGTCCAAATTAGTAAATGGGAGGTTTCTTGTACTCAGTGATAGATAAAATGAGTTCTAAAGAAATAGCTATGAGTTTGGTCAACTGGAACAATGGAATTGGCTGAAAATAGGGCTCAAAGCCGGCGAAATCGCCGATACACATATGTCGCCGAGACCGCTAACTTCGCGGGAGCATAATTCCATGAGTTTTCGACCAAATTTCGAACTTTTGGTGTCATTACCATCGGGAAAAAATTCTCTATCATTTCATAAGAAAAAATCATAATTTTTTTTTTTTTCAAAAATTGAGCAACATAGAATGACAGTTTCAGAAAGGGACCTGAAACAGTCAAAGGGTTAACTTGGGAACATCTTTCAAGAAATAAAAATAAAGAAGTATAAAGACATGAAATAGTATTAAACATAACATGCAGTTCCATGAGAATTTTATTACTGAACCTCTTTCAAGATTTTCATTGAGCATTTAAACATATCTGTCAAGTGTTGCAGATGTTTGAAGTAGTTAAGAGTTTTTTTTAACGGCAGAGAGTGGCTCGGGTTAGGGTATGTAGGAGAGTATTTTCAAGGGGAGGCAAACCTTAGACATTGTGTGATGTCATTCTAGTGCATTCATGTTTTTATAGGTAGAGTTGTATAAGTAGTAAGTTATCAAGTTTTTGGAGAGGTGCAGGCTTCAAAGGTAAAAACACAGTACTTTTGAAAGATTTGATGTTAGATTAGAAGAAAGGAATATCGAGGCACTAAAATTTATACGTATTTTTTTTTTTTTTTAAATATTTCGGCTGTCTCCCACCGAGGCAGGGTGGTCGGAAAAAAAAAAAGAAGCAAACATTTTCACCATCATTCAACACTCATCATCATTCGCACATAATTGCTCTCTTCGCAGAGGTGCCCCAGATGTAGTGGTACCAACACTCTTATATCGGAGTGAAGCATAAGTTGTAAATGCTGCAGCAAGGAGGAGGCTGGAGGTAGTGGAAATGTTGCATGTAAGGGTAATGTGTGGTGTAAATACAGTGGAACTTTGGCATTCTAACTGAATTGGTTCCAGAAGGCTGTTCGAGTATAGAACAAATTTTTCCCAACCAATTTTCTTTTTGGTTGGTTGTTATCACTAACCCTCTTTGGCCCCATAGTAACTAATGTATATAGATAATATAAAAAACGCCAAAAAAATGCAAAGGAACACGAAATAGTTTACAGTGAAGTTCTGACAGGCCGTGTTTGTTTGGTCAAGTGCCGAGCAAGTTAACCACTGCGAACCAACAAGGCCAGCACAAGAAAAACATAATGTGCAAAGCATGCACCATGCATCTACATAAAACATCTAGAGAGACCATCAGCAACCACATTCTCTGAGCCTTTTATATATTTGACTTCGAAATTAAAGGGCTGTAAGAACAAAGCCCATCTTAGAGTCTTTGATTGTGATTTCTCATTCTCTGCAAAAACCTCAGAGGACTGTCGACTACCGAGCGATTTGTTTACTGAACTAAACATTTGAATACTGAATTGTTCAAGTACAGAGCTGTTTGAGTACCGAGGTTTCAGTTATGCTGAGAATTTTTTTTTTTTAACCCATCTGTCATCTCCCATCGAGACAGGGTGACCCAAAAAGAAAGAAAAAATCCCCAAAAAGAAAAATAATTTCACCATCATTCAACACTTTCACCTCACTCGTACATAATCACTGTCTTTGCAGAGGCGCTCAGATATGACAGTTTAGAAGTTTCTCCAAACTGCCAATATCCTAAACCTCTCACTTAAAGTGCAGGCATTGTACTTCCCATTTCCAGGATTCAAGTCCGGCTAACCGGTTTCCCTGAATCCCTTCACAAATTATTACCCTGCTCACATTCCAACAGCTTGTCAGGTCCCAAAAACCATTCGTCTCTATTAATTCTTATCTAACATGCTTGTGCTCGCTTGCTGGAAGTCCAAGCCCCTTGCCGACAAAGCCTCCTTTACTCTCTCCCTCCAACCTTTGCGAGGATAACGCATACCCCATCCGCTCTCCAAGTCATTCTACTTTGATCTGTTCTCTCTAAATGACCAAACCATCTCAACAACCCCTCTTCAGCCCTCTGACTAATACTTTTATTAACTCCACACCTCCTCCTAATTTCCACACTCTGAATTCCCTGCATAATATTTACACTCCACATTGCCCTTAGACAGGACATCCCTACTGCCTCCTCGCTGCAGCATTTACAACCCAAGCTTCACACCCATATAAGAGTGTTGGTACAACTGCACTTTTGTACATTCCCTTCTTTTCCTCCATGGATAACGTTTTTTGTCTCCAGAGATACCTCAATCCACCACTCACCTTTTTTTCTTCATCAATTCTATGGTTAACCTCATCCTTCATAAACCCATCCGCTGACACATCAACTCCCAAATATCTGAAAACATTCACTTCTTCCATACTCCTCTCCAATGTGATATCCAATTTTTATTTTTTATTTATTAGCACACTGGCCGATTCCCACCAAGGCAGAGTGGCCCGAAAAAGAAAAACTTTCACCATCATTCACTCCATCACTGTCTTGCCAGAAGGGTGCTTTACATTACAGTTTTTAAACTGCAACATTAACACCCCTCCTTCAGAGTGCAGGCACTGTACTTCCTATCTCCAGGACTCAAGTCCGGCCTGCCGGTTTCCCTGAACCCCTTCATAAATGTTACTTTGCTTACACTCCAACAGCACGTCAAGTATTAAAAACCATTTGTCTCCATTCACTCCTATCAAACACGCTTGCGCATGCCTGCTGGAAGTCCAAGCCCCTCGCACACAAAACCTCCTTTACCTCCTCTCTCCAACCTTTCCTAGGCCGACCCCTACCCCGCCTTCCTTCCACTACAGACCGATACACTCTTGAAGTCATTCTGTTTCGCTCCATTCTCTCTACATGTCCGAACCACCTCAACAACCCTTCCTCAGCCCTCTGGACAACAGTTTTGGTAATCCCGCACCTCCTCCTAACTTCCAAACTACGAATTCTCTGCAATATATTCACACCACACATTGCCTTCAGACATGACATCTCCACTGCCTCCAGCCTTCTCCTCGCTGCAACATTCATCACCCATGCTTCACACCCATATAAGAGCGTTGGTAAAACTATACTCTCATACATTCCCCTCTTTGCCTCCAAGGACAAACTTTTGTCTCCACAGACTCCTAAGTGCACCACTCACCCTTTTCCCCTCATCAATTCTATGATTCACCTCATCTTTCATAGACCCATTCTTAAATATCTGAATACATTCACCTCCTCCATACCCTCTCCCTCCAATCTGATATCCAATCTTTCATCACCTAATCTTTTTGTTATCCTCATAACCTTACTCTTTCTTGTATTCACTTTTAATTTTCTTCTTTTGCATACCCTACCAAATTCATCCACCAATCTCTGCAACTTCTCTTCAGAATCTCCCAAGAGCACAGTGTCATCAGCAAAGAGCAACTGTGACAACTCCCACTTCATGTGTGATTCTTTATCTTTAAACTCCACGCCTCTTGCCAAGACCCTCGCATTTACTTCTCTTACAACCCCATCTATAAATATATTAAACAACCATGGTGACATCACACATCCTTGTCTAAGGCCTACTTTTACTGGGAAATAATTTCCCTCTTTCCTACTTTCCAATTTTTCTTTATCTTAATTGTTTAATACCTTCATCACCTTACTCTTATCTATGTTCACTTTCAACTTTCTACCTTTACACACCCTCCCAAACTTGTCCACTAACCTTGGTAACTTTTCTTTAGAATCTCCCAAAAGCATGGTATCATAAGCAAAAAAGTAACTGTGTCAACTCCTATTTTGTATTTGATTCCCCATAATTTAATCCTACCCCTCTCCCCAACACCCTAGCATTTACTTCTTTTACAACCCTATCTATAAATATATTAAACCATGGTGACATTACACATCCCTGTCAAAGACCTACTTTTACCAGGAAGTAATTTCCCTTTCTCCTACACACCATAACCTGAGCCTCACTATCGTCATAAAAACTTTACAGCATTTAGTAACTTACTACTATTCCATGCACTTGCAATATCTGCCACATTGCTCTCCTCTCCACTCTCTCATATACATTTCCTAAATCCATAAATTCAACTAAAACTTCCCTACCTTTATCAAAATACTGTTCACATATATGCTTCATTGTAAACACTTGATCTACACATCCTTACTCACTCTAAAGCCTCCATGCTCATGTGCAGTCCTACTCTCTGTTTTACCTCTAATTCTTTCAATAATAACTCTACCATACACTTTACCTGGTATACTCAGGAAACTTTTTTTTTTTTTTTTTTAACAAACTGGCCGTATCCCACCAAGGCAGGGTGGCCCAAAAAGAAAAACGAAAGTTTCTCTTCATAAATTTAATAATTTATACAGGAGAAGGGGTTACTAGCCCCTTGATCCTGGCATTTTAGTCGCCTCTTACAACATGCATGGCTTACGGAGGAGGAATTCTGTTCCACTTCCCCAAGAAGGTAAGAGGAAATAAACAAGAACAAGAACGAGTAAGAAAATAGAAGAAAACCCAGAGGGGTGTGTGTATATATATTCTTGTACATGTACATATGTGTAGTGTGACATAAGTGTAAGTAGAAGTAGCAAGACGTACCTGAAACCTTGCATGTTTGAGACAGAGAAATGGGCACCAGCTATCCTACCATCATGTAAAACAATTACAGGCTTTTGTTTTATACTAACTTGGCAGGATGGTAGTACCTCCCTGGGCAGTTGCTGTCTACCAACCTACTACCTAAAACTCCGGAAACTTCTTCCCCTATAATTTTTACAATCTCTTTTGTCCCCCTTTCCTTTATATAAAGGAGCTATTCATGCTCTCTGCCAATCCCAAAGTGCCCTCCCCTCTTTCATACATTTACTAAACAAAAATACCCAATGCTCCAACACTATATCCCCCTGCTTTTAACGTTTGTCATAACCCCGCAGTTTAAGTGTTTTAAATACCCCCCATTCAAATAATGCCTCAGCCCCTTTCCCCTACATTCCTCCTGTCTTTTTCCTTCCTAAAAGATGTTAAACCCCCTGGCCATTGCTTGAATTGCTGCCTCCCTTTTTTCATCGACTTTTAAAAACCTCAAATATTCTCCCCACACTCAAAAAACTCCAGTTCTCCTCTACAAACCCCCCTACTCTGTTTTTAACTACAAATCCTTCGTTCCTTGATTTTTTTTAACCTTTGTTTATCTCGCCCCAAAATTTTTTTTATTTTCGTTAAAATTTCTTGACGGGCCCTCCCCCCCTCTATCTTGCTCTTTTTTTTTTTTTAACTTCTCCCACTCTTCCCCTTTTCTTTTCTCCCATATACCTGCTTTTCTTATAACACTTTTTTTTGTAAAAACCTCTGATAAAGAATTTGTAGTTGGAAATTAGGAGGGGTGTGGGTTCCTAAAATATTAGACGAGGGCTAAATGGGATTGTGGTGGTTCGGTTATTTAGAGAGAATGGAACAAAGTAGAATGACTTGGAGAGCGTATAAATCTGTAGGGGAAGGAAGGCGGGGTAAGGTCATCGTCGAAAAAGTTGGAGGGAGTCGGTAAAAGAGGTTTTGTGGGCGAGGGCCTTGGATGTCCAGCAAGCATGCATGAGCGTGTTAGGAATGAATGGAAACAAATGGTTTTTGGGACCTGACGAGTTGTTGGACTGTGAGCTGGGTAATATTTTGCGAAGGGATTCAGGGAAGCAAGTTAGCCGGACTTGAGTCTTGGAAAGGGGAGGTACAATGCCTGCACTTTGAAGGAGGGGTTTGGGATATTGGTAGTTTGAGCGCCTCTGCAAAGATATTGATTATGTACGACTGATGGTGAAAGTGTTAAATGATGAAAGTTTTTTCATTCTTTGTGTCGCCCTGCCTTAATAGGAAACGGCTGACGTGTTAAAAAAAAAAAAAAAAAAACTTGTAGTGAGGAGGCGGCAGCTAGAGGCAGTGATATCACATTGGAGATCAGTGTGTGGTGTGAATATTATGTAGATTAAGGAATGCAGAAATTAGGAGATAGTGCAGTGGTATGAAAACTGCAATTTGAAAAGCAGAAAGGGGGTTGTTGAGATAATTGGGTCATTTGGAAAGACCACAGCAATGTATGTTGGCTAAGAGGGTGTATAATTCTGAAATGTATGGAAGGTGAAATGTTATATTTTTATGGTCTTAGGTGTATCATAGTCCATGATTAATAAGAGAGAAATATACAAACCAAGGAAAAAAAATTCATAAGTTTTGTTATTTTAATTATATATTTTTTCAGATGAATGTGGAGAAAATATGGCTGATGCAGTTGTGGATAAGATTCTTTTTGAAACTCAAGAACAACTAAAATATCTGCGAGAACAGCATTCAACCCTTGAAGAGAAACTTTCTGAAACTACATACAGTAGAGATCAGTTGCTTGCACAGGTAATGAATAGTGGCTGATATAATACTAATAATAAATGTATGTGTTTTCTTTGGGTCACCCTGCCTTGGCAGGAGACTGCAGTTTGGGGGGAAAAACCTGAGAAGGTACATTAATATTACAAAGATAGTTTTCAGTTTGTTTATTCCTTTCATGATAAAGCTTATAATTATGCAGAGTACTTTGGGCAAACTTAAACTAAGAATAAAACTAACAACAATATATTGCACACTTGAATATTTTGTAAAAAAATATTTACGTATGCAACAGTAAATGCTTTAAAAAATACTGCGTGGTAATATTAATCTAAATTGTATAAAGTTAGTAAAATGTGCTTGAACATAAATGCTAATCATTTTTTTTTTTTATTTCCTTACAAAACCATCAGAAATGAAGGGGTAGGGATCATCTCAGGAACAGTTGGAAGTAGGGAGTGAAGGTGGTTTTGAGCATCTGGCTGACTTGAGGTGTTGCCTGGTCGAGTGAGACAGTGTCAAGTGGTTTTAACAGACGTGCTGTTAGAGCGTGAACAAGGTAACATGGATTCCCTGAATCTCTCCATAAATGTTACCTTGCTTACACTTCAGTAACACATCCATTAAAATAAACTTGTCTCCACTCCTGCCTAGCATGTTCTCACAAGTCTGCTGGATGCTCAAGCCCTAATAATCAAAACTTCCTTCAATCGTTCCTGGGATGATCCGTACCCCTCCTTTTTTCCACCTGAGAATTTATGTATACACTATCCAATCCCTCCTCTAAATGCCCAAACCATTACAACAAACTTCAGCACTTTGAATTTTCTTTCTTTTTTTTTTTTTTTTTGGGTCACCCTACTTTGGTGTGAGTTAGTCATTGTGTTAAAAACATTGGGATTAGAAATACTTAAGTGAGTAAAGAAATCTTTACTTCAGATACCTGATGCAGATTTGTGTGTCTGATGTTTCATAAATTAATGATCATTTTACCAGTCATTGTTGAATTAGAAGGTATTTTGTTTTTTAAATTATTTTCAGGTGGAATCCATCACCACAGAAAATGAAAATATAATTTCTGAGTTAGAAGAAGTACGGGAGACATATACTCAGCTCCAGGATTCTCATGCACAAGTATGTGATGAGAATAAGAATACTTTACAAATTTTACAAGAAGTTAAGATGAAGAATGAAATGTTGGAGGCAGAACGACAAAAATTGGAGGTAGTCAAAATGTGTGGGTTTTTTTTTTTTACTTAGAATTATTCTTTAAAGTATTAATGGTAAATTCATTTTTATATACCTTATTTCATGTTCATCAAGCATGAGAAACCTTAGAAACAAATTTTTGTATACCTGTAATAGAAAAAAATTAATTTAATATATTTTTCCACCACATTTAACCCTTTCAGGGTCCGTCCCGTAGATCTACGGCTTTACGGTGAGTGTCCAAACCGTAGATCTACGCCATGAGCTCAGCTCACTCTGATAAACTGTGAGTGGTACATTTGGGCCTAGATATGAGAGAATACATCTATGTGGTATGTGTGCACCACATAAAACAGATCCTGCAGCACACTGTGTATAATGAGAGAAAAAACTGAAATCATGATTTTTCGATTAAAACAGCGACTTTGCAGTGTTTTTTCGTATGTTTTTTATAGTTGTATTTGCGATTTCTTGGTCTCATTTGATAGAATGGAAGACATATTACAGAAATAGAGATGATTTTGGTTGGTTTTAGCACTGGAAATGGCTTGAAACTGAGCTCAAAGTAGCGGAAATGTTAAATTTTTGCCGATATTCAAGAGTAAACAAACGACCTCACACATCTAATACACGTTAGCTTGTGGGTCTAATATACATTCACAAATATGGTGATGATATTTATACAATTATTACAGTATTGCATAACAGAAAATCTTCTATTTTTTGGTGTGAATAAAAATTCATTACGTGAATAAAAAATCAAAATGGAATTTATTTGTAAAGCCTCAAAATGTAACTAATGAACAGAGGAAATGTTAGTTTAGTTCCAGGAATACCTACATTGTTTATTCTGGAGCCTATTTTGAAATTGGAATATTTTGAACTTTGTGTTAAATTGGCCAAATTAACAATTTCCGATCACTTTAATTTGTAGTTGAAACAGTTGACTTGGCGATTTCTTGTGCTCAATCGATAGAATAGAAGTAATACTAGTGAAATAGCTAAGAATTTGGTTGATTGGAATAATGTAATTGGCCTAAAATGGGAGTCAAAGTCGGCAAAATCGCCGATTCATAAATATCGCTGACACATCAAAATTCGCGAGAGCATAATTTCGTCAATTTTCCATCAAATTTCGTACTTTTTGTTTTATTACCTTCACAAAAAGATTCTCTACGATTTCATAAGAAAAAATAACAAATTTTTTTTTTGAAAATTCTTGGACACTGGTGCGTGACTTCAGATTTTGGCCTTGGACCCTGAAAGGGTTAATTGAATACACAAATAATCCACACACAAGAGAGGAGCTTTCCTCTCCTCCCTCTACAGATGCTCCTGTCTACTCTATTTCTTGTTCCTCCTGTCCTTTTTGTTATTTATTTGTGTATAGTCCTCTTCAGTACTTTGCAGAAACTGGCCGTTCTCTTTCTGACAGACTTAGGGAGCACAAAAGTAGTGTTAGGCTTGCCAACACTAACAATTCTCTTTCCTGTCACATCAGAGATCACAGTCATCCTATCGACTGGTCTTCTGCTAAAACTGTCTTCCCTACTTCCAACTTCAACAGTCAGTGTCTGGTCAAATCCTCCCTAATACACAACTTTCCTTGTATGAATCTTAGGCCTGGCTTCATCTCTGTAGATGCTTTCCTTTCCCACTACATTGTAAAATGCTCCGAACTTCAGAACACCTGTGACCTAACCTAATTCCTCCTTTTCTTCTTCTCTCTCTTCCCCTTAACTCTTTTGTTTTTCTCCTTTGGATTGTCTTTCTTCTACCTTGGGTATTTGTTCCTTCATTATTTTTTTTTTTTATCACACTGGCCGATTCCCACCAAGGCAGGGTGGCCCAAAAAAGAAAAACTTTCACCATCATTCACTCCATCACTGTCTTGCCAGAAGGGTGCTTTACACTACAGTTTTTAAACTGCAACATTAACACCCCTCCTTCAGTGGGCGGGCACTGTACTTCCCATCTCCAGGACTCAAGTCCGGCCTGCCGGTTTCCCTGAACCCCTTCATAAATGTTACTTTGCTCACACTCCAACAGCACGTCAAGTATTAAAAACCATTTGTTTCCATTCACTCCTATCAAACACGCTCACGCATGCCTGCTGGAAGTCCAAGCCCCTTGCACACAAAACCTCCTTTACCCCCTCCCTCCAACCTTTCCTAGGCCGACCCCTACCCCGCCTTCCTTCCACTACAGACTGATACACTCTTGAAGTTATTCTGTTTCGCTCCATTCTCTCCACATGTCCGAACCACCTCAACAACCCTTCATCAGCCCTCTGGACAACAGTTTTGTTAATCCCGCACCTCCTCCTAACTTCCAAACTACGAATTCTCTGCATTATATTCACACCACACATTGCTCTCAGACATGACATCTCCACTGCCTCCAGCCTTCTCCTCACTGCAACATTCATCACCCATGCTTCACACCCATATAAGAGCGTTGGTAAAACTATACTCTCATGCATTCCCCTCTTTGCCTCCAAGGACAAACTTCTTTGTCTCCACAGACTCCTAAGTGCACCACTCACCCTTTTTCCCTCATCAATTCTATGATTCACCTCATCTTTCATTTATTTATTTTATTATCCCCCCCCTCTGTGTTCTTTCTGTTACCCTCTGTGGGCGCCTAGCTCCCTTGCCGTGCTCCTCTTTCTTAGTATTTGACTGCCTCCTCCTCCTCCATACTACCTTCTACCTCCACTACTATCACTACATCCTGCCTATATATACTCCCTCCCTCTCCTTTTCGTTCGTGTGACTTTGTAAATGGTCCAAGTCGGACCGAAACATCGTCGTAAACTCCTCTCTTCTATGTGTGGGTTATTTGTGTGTCGTTCCAGTCACGGTATTCTTTTTTTTTTTTTTTTTTTTGTTATATACATTCAATTGGCAGTTTGGAGGGATATGTTGTGTATCTTTATACGTATATGCTTCTAAACTGTTGTATTCTGAACACCTCTGCAAAAGCAGTGATAATGTGTGAGTGTGGTGAAAGTGTTGAGTGATGATGAAAGTATTTTCTTTTTGGGGATTTTCTTTCTTTTTTGGGTCACCCTGCCTCGGTGGGAGACGACCAACTTGTTGAAAAAAAAAAAAAAAAAACATTCAATTGATAGTAAATAAAATTATTTTACATTTATTTAATAATGGCACTGCTTTTCTTTTCTCAGTTTCAAAGTATGACCTCTTGTTCTTATTGCTCATGGTGCCAAGATATTTCTTTCATTTCATGACTGTTTTAACACACCAATCATCACCCATTGAGGCAGTGTGGCCCACTTCATCCACTGTCTTGCCAGAAGTGTGCTGATATCACAGTGCAGATGTTCCACTGGATTGCAACATCCTCACCCCTCCTTTAGAGTGCAGGCACTGTTTCTCACCTCCAGAACTCAAATTTAACTGGTTTTCCTGACTCTTCATGAATGTTACTTTGCTCACACTCCCGCAATGTGTCTTAACCCTTTCAGGGTCCGTCCCGTAGATTTACGGCTTTACGTTCAGGGTCCAAACTGTAGATCTACGTCATGAGCTCAGCTCACTCTGATAAACTGTGAGTGGCACATTTGGGCCTAGATATGAGAGAATACATCTATGTGGTATGTGTGCACCACATAAAACAAATCCTGCAGCACTCTGTGTATAATGAGAGAAAAAAAACTTGAGACCATGATTTTCGATTAAAACAGCGAATTTGCAGTGTTTTTTCGTATGTTTTTTATAGTTGCATTTGCGATTTCTTGGTCTCATTTGATAGAATGGAAGACATATTACTGAAATAGTGATGATTTTGATTGGTTTTAGCACTGAAAATGGCTTGAAACTGAGCTCAAAGTAGCGGAAATGTTAAATTTTTGCCGATGTTCAGGAGTAAACAAACAACCTCGCACGTCTAATACACGCCAGCTGGTGGGTCTAATATACATTCACAAATGTTGTGATGATATTTATACAATTATTACAATATTGCGTAACATTAAATCTTCTATTTTTTGGTGTGAATAAACATTCATTATGTGAATAAAAAATCAAAATGGAATTTATTTGTAAAGCCTCGAAACGTAACTAATGAACAGAGGAAATGTTAGTTTAGTGCCAGGAATACCTACATTGTTTATTCTTGACCTTATTTTGAAATTGGAATATTTTGAACTTTGTGTTAAATTGGCCAAATTACCAACTTCCGATCACTTTATTTTGTAGTTGATACTGTTGACTTGGCAATTTCTTGTGCTCAGACGATAGAATAGAAGTAATACTAGTGAAATAGATAAGAATTTGGTCAACTGGAATAATGTAATTGGCCTAAAATGGGAGTCAAAGTCGGCAAAATCGCTGATTCGTAAATATCGCTGACACATCAAAATTCGTGAGAGCATAATTTCGTCAATTTTCCATCAAATTTCGTACTTTTTGTTTTATTACCTTCACAAAAAGATTCTCTACCATTTCATAAGAAAAAATAACAAATTTTTTTTTGGAAAATTCTTGGACACTGGGGCACCACTTCAGATTTTGGCCTTGGACCCTGAAGGGGTTAAGTCATTAAAACCACTTGTCTCTACTCCCTCCCTATAATCTTTCCTGAGATGAACCCTACCCCTCTGTCCTTCCATTGCAAATTTAGATACCATCTTAGCCATCCTTTCTGAATGCCACACCACCTCAACAACCCCTTCTCAGGACTGAATTCTTTTGGTAACCCCAGGCATCTTCTGATCTCCATTCTCCTATTTCTTTGCATAATATTTACACATCACCCTTGAATATATCATCTCCACAGTCTTCAGTTTCCTGTTTGCTGAAGTGTCTATAAAGCTCATGCTGTACACCCATATAAGAATGGAGATAAATGGTATAAAATACCGACACTTTGGAAAAATAGACACAAATGCAGTATAATGTGATTCTTTATTGACTACGTTTCTCCCATGCAGTGGGCTTTGTCAAGTCACAAACAGATCTGTTTGTGACAGTGAAAGAAATAAAGGGCCTGTTAGAGTACAGGCAATCTAGATTGGACAGCTCTAACCAAATAATTACTGTATTGAACCCAGGAGTAATGGCATAGCTGGAGGGAGAGCAAGGGAAGTGACTGCTGTCCCTGAGCACATTTTTTAAAAGTGGAGCCTTGTCAAAAAAATTTCTCTTTAGTTCACTGTTGCCAATGACGTGTGTTCCATATTTCCTGACTTGTCTACATTGTACCACGTTTTTCTGACATTACCAGTAACTAGTGCAGTCATGGAACTATCCTTTAGTTGGCTCAAATACACAAAGTCCTACCTTTGTTCTGCAATGGGTGAGGATACATTGTCTAGTTTGAGTTTGCTCTCTATTGAAAGAGAGTTGGCTACTGAGGTACATTATAATAAAGTAATGAATAACTTTACAAGAATGAAACCTAGACAGAAGAGACTTGTAGTTGATTCATACATTTTTCACATTGCTTTGTTTTTTTATTTTACATATAAAATTAAAATTAATTAATGGACATTTTTATTATGTTTTGAGATTTATGGGCTTACTATAAAGCTTTTTTATTATGTTTTGATTTTAAATACAAAATAACAATTATGTACTTTCTTTAGAACTATATCTTCTTTGTGTTTTGATTTTGATTACTAAATAAGTTATGTTAAAAATAAAATAAAAATATAAGATGAATTTAAAATTATTCAGTAGTACGTGTCATGATGCCTTTTTATTTTTATGTGCTTACTTTCCCTAACTTCAGAGCTTGGCTATGCCACTACCCAGGAGTAACACATTTTTGCTTAAATATGCCAGTGAACTTTTTTTTTTATTTGCAGTTTAGTATTGTTTCTCATATTGCAGGATGAGGCTCATATGACACAAACAACTATATCCAACATGAAGGATGAATTTAATAAAGTTTTGGAACAATCGTCTCAGTGCTCTACTAAGTTGAAGACTCTGGAAGAGCAAGTTCAGTCCTCTCAACTTGAATTAAAAGTTACCCATGCAGCCCTTGAAGAAGTATCTAATGCTAAGACCTCTTTACAAGAAGAGTTCTCAAGTACCATATCTAAGATAAACAAGGATTTTGAAAATCAAGTTGCATCTCAAAGAGAAGAATATAAATTGAAGGTTGGTTTATAAGAAAGATTTACAGAATTGCCAATACGCAGATAACCCCCCGCATAAACTGAAGCTTAAGGATGTTTTGGTCCAACTCAGACCATAAACTGGTCACACAGTATGACTAGTTAGTGGTCCAAGTTGTACTGAAATATCATCGTAAGTTTCAGTCTCCTATGTGTGAGTTATTTTTGTATTGTTCCAGTCATGGTATTGTGCCTTGTTATTAATAATTGTCATCATTTTTTTCAGGTCTTTTGAAAATAAACATTCACCAGAGGCAAAATTTTGGTAATGTGTGAAAGTTTTGGTATAGAATGAATAGAAGTTGGCGGAATTTGAATCACGAGACACGGCAGATATAACTTCAGTACTTACCTTTATTAAATTTTAACTGTCATAGGGGACTAGTGCTCGTCATTTAAAATTTACTGGGTGGAGGTGCCCATCATGAGTTATTGTTGAAATACTGCATATTTAAATTTTATTATTCAGTTACAGTATATACATAAAACAGTTGAAACTTGTTTCTGTAGTGCTTGAACATTTTATAAAAATTATACAAAAATACTTTTCACTGTAAAAAAATTTTTTCTTTAATAATAGAAAGTTTTTACATCACAAACAAAAGATCACACACACGAATAACCCGCACATAGAAGAGAGGAGCTTACGATGACATTTCGGTCCGACTTCGACCATTTACAGAGTGTGACTTTGTAAATGGTCCAAGTCGGACCGAAACATCGTCGTAAGCTCCTCTCTTCTATGTGCGGGTTATTTGTGTATTGTTCCAGTCACAGTATTGTGCCTTTTTGTTGTTTAAAAAATTACATATTATATCATCTTATTCCAGTCTGGGAAGGAAATAATTGAAACAGTTCCTTTGATTATTCATAGAGAGATTTCCCTTGCACAGTGAATGAGCAGTAGTTGACTTTTATCTGTTACTTTTGTTATGCATAACTTGCATGCCAGCCTGCTTGTATCAATTGGCCAATGAGGTAATGTTGTGTAATACCTCTTATGACAACTATTTTCATCATCATTTACTCCGTCATCCATAGTCATGGTCATTTTCACTGTCCAAACAAGGCCCATCCAAGGTATTGTCCTTTCTCCACTGGGCACTTGATCTATAAAAGATGCCTGTTTGAACTGAAATGACAAGAAAACACAACATGACAAATTAACAAATATGTACACTTATGTAATACAAGTTGCACCTTGGATGAAATACAGTATTTTGGGTAGTACTCGTTTATGTTGTACACACTTTATTTGCATATCAAAGCTATGTTCAAACATTCAATTAAGCATTAGAAATCAATTCAGAAACTTGTTGCCATTCTGGAGGGGCAAAAATCTGTGAAATATGGGAACTTTTAAGTGAGAAATCTATCTCTGGCGAACACTCAGTTGAAAGCGTTTACATCTGGCTACACCAGCCAGTGAGATGTGACAGAAAGTGGTCATTTCATATATGATATAGCTCCTAGAAGCCTTGTGATTTGTGTGACACGCTTGGTTGCATGGTAGCATAAATCTAGTGCTTGTAGAGCATTATAAACTGCTCTCTGCTTGATAGAGGATTTTAATGGTTCTGGGATTATCATCTCCACAGCCTGATCTGAGACCAAATCTCTTAGATGGGAAAGGAAATGCAGTATTACCATACTTTAAACAATTAAAACACACACAGGAGAATAAAGATAAATGTATATTGATAGCACGTAGAAATTTGTAAGATTTACCTGCCATCTTGCATAGTCTTGAAACAGAAAATTCCAACAATCCTATCATTTTGGAAAACATTTTAACTTGCTTCTATTTCACAATTATATGACAAAACGATAGTACCTTTGTGAATAGTTTTTGTCTATGAATCTCACGTGGGGAAAGCCTCTGATTTTGCATATTATTCTTTAGGTTTGATTTGTTAAGAATTTGAAGATTTGCCTTCTTATTTTTTTTTTGTATGCATATTGTTTAGGATGTGAACAATATTTGCTCAATGTAATTAATGCTTATTCAGTGTTTGTTCAAGGTAATTAATATTTATTCACGGTATGTATTTATTTAAGGTAATTAATGCTTATTCACAGTGTTTGTTATGGGTAATTAGTGCTTATTCATGGTATTTGTTCAAGGTAATTTTGGATGATTTTTGTGGGATTGAATTTGAATTCAATGACTACAGATGAGGCCTGTAGAATTAATTGTTCATTGAATTTAAATTTAGTGGCAGTGCAGTAGTTGCATTTTTCCATTGGTTCGAGAGGCAATTTTCTTCCACGAAAACCATTATTTTTGTTCTTTTAATACAGTGGAACCTCAGGTTTCGTCATTAATTCATTCCAGAAAGTCTGACAAAAACTGAATTCGACGAAAACCAAAGGAACATTTCCCCTTAGAAATAATGTAAATCCGATTAATCCATTCCAGACACCCAAAAGTGTAAACAAAAAAAAAAGTTTTTATAGAGAATAACTACTTTTTTTACATACAGAAAACAATGTGAAATAAATATAAAGGACTAATGAAATGAATAAATGAATATTTAATGTGACTTTTACCTTTATTGAAGACTCTTGTTGGCATATGGAAGATGGGAGGAGGGGAGAGGGAGGAAGAGAGGTTATTGGTTGGAAGGGGAATCCCCCTCCATAAGGACTTCAGGTATCAAGTCCCTATCTGGGGTTGCTTCCCTTCTTTGTCTTTTACTGGCATTGGGCCCCTGTCGCATAAAAAATCTGCCTAGAGAGGTCTGTTTCTGACGTCTCTCTAAGATTTGCCTAAACTGGGATAAGGCATTGTCATTGAACATGTCGCAGACACAACTTGCAACAGCTTTGTTAGGGTGATATCTCCACAAAACTTTGCAACTCACGCCACTTAGCACACATGTCCTTAATCACTGAAGAAGGCACATTCTCCCCTCTTTGTGTCCTCCTCCTCTGAAGCAATTTCCTCAGCTGCAATCTGTTGCTGTTCCAGTCGAAGGTGTTGCATCACTTTAGTGGTTAGCTCTTCCCTGTAATCGTCCACCAACTCTTCCACATCCTGGCCACTCACATCCAACCCCATACTTTGCTACAAGTTCTTTCTAAATTCTATTGTGTTTCTCGCCACCATGGTGGCTTATTTAGCAGTCTCACTCAATAAACAAGCCCAAAAAACAATGGGTGAACGCGCAGGGTAATGCTCACTTGACAAGAAACAAAGCCAGATCGACTCGGAACATGTGGAATGCTTTGTGTGGGCACGGCAGGCGGATACGTTCGGTATGGTGGATCATTGAAAACCAAGGTGATGAATGAAAATTGGGACAAAATTGTGATGAAAAAAGTCCTTGAAAACCGAATTCGGCAAAAACCAGGGCAAACGAAAACCTATTTTTTACTATATTTGTTAAAAAATTTAATAGGGAGTTATATATTCACATTGTGTGAATCTTAGTTTTACCAAGAGGGAATGTGCTGATGGATGTTGTGGTCCGATATATTATTTTCCTCCAAGTTTTTCAGAACTTGTGCTTTGTTATAAATATGTATGGATCCTTGTACTTCAGCATAATCTAAATATTCTTTTGTTTTCAGGTTCAGGAGTTGAATAAAAACATAATGGAACTACTCAGTACACAGGAAATGTTAACTAATGAGAAAATTTCACTCGAGCATGAAATCCAAAGTCTCAAGGAGAATTATACATGTGTCACATTGCAGATGGATCAAGACCTAACAAAAATGGCTAATGAGAAAGCTGACTTAAACATGCAGGTTGAGATCAAGTCAGAAACTCTGTGTCAACTACAGAAAGAAATGGAAGATAAGATTAAAACTTTGAATACAGAAAAGCACTGTTTGGAAGAGGAAATTCAGATGAAAACTCTTGATTATTTTAGGCTTCAGAATGAAGTAGAAACACAAGTAAAGCAATTGACTTTTGAGAAAGTAGCTCTTAAAGAAGAACTTCTTCTCAGAAAAGAAGAATATTCTCTCCTTAAGCAAGAAATGGAGAAGACCAATAATGCTATGGCTGATTTGAAAACAAAATTTGAAAAGGAAATAGAGACAAGGAAGGAAGCATTCTTAGCATTACAACAGCAAAAGGAAAATGAACTTAACAACCATGCTAAGAGAATAGCTTCACTGAATGAAATAATGACAAACAAGGAAAAAGAGTTCAGTGACTTAAATAAAGAGTTTAATAAAATTGTTGAAGATTTAAGTGAGATGAGAATTATCTTGAGTAGTGAACACCAGATACATGAAGAAACAAAGGTTATCATAAGACAGCAATTGAAAGATTGTCAAGCTGATTTTGTTAAAAAAGAAAAAGAAATGAGCAATGTGATTCACCAAAAAGAAAGTGCATATCTCTCTCTCCAGTTAAAAATGCAAGAAGCTGAGAATAATTTTACTAGTGAAAGAATAACACTACTTAATGAAATTCAAACAAAGGAAAAGGAGTTAAATGAGAAGTATAAATTAACTATAAATTCTCTTGAGCAGCAAAATTCTGTTCTGAATGATGCTCTTATAGTGAAGGAAGAAGCAGTGACATCATCACACGAAATTGTGAATAAGCTTCAAAATGAGATGGAAATAAAGGCTAATGACTGTAGTGCTCTACAACATGAGCTGGAAATCACCAGAGCTGCTTATGAGCAAGAGAAATGCACATTACTCCAAGAGATGCAAGTGAACAAAAGTAGTTATATTTCCTCACAGAATGATTTGGAAGAAAAATTACAAATGCTTCGTCAAGAAAAGATAACCTTGACAAAAATAATCGAAGAAAAAGAAGAGGCATTTGGTTCTCTACAGAGGCAGCATTGTGAGTTGGTTGATGAATTTTCCAGAGAAAGGGCAGCCATCTCTCAAGAACTCCTTTCAAAGAATGAACATGTAAATAAACTTTTATCAGAAAAAGAAAAAAATATTAAAAGTTTAGAGGAACAGAATGACTTGAATACTAAAACATATGAAAGTAAAATGGGTAAATTAGATGAAATTCTTGCTGATAAATGTAAACAAATAGAGAAAGTAGAGCAAGAGAAAATGAGCATTAAAAAATGTAAGGAAGAGAGTGAAGTTCTGTTCAATGAACAATTCAGTAATGTGAAACTGGCAATGGAAGTTCTTAAGAGAGAGAAAGAGGAGCAAGCAGAAATCAACCAAAAAATTATTTGTGAACTAAATTCATGTCTTCAGGAAAAAAAAAAAATCATCACCACCATGGAAGAAATGCACGAACAAAGTTTAAATAGTTACAAGACTCAGACTATGGAAATGGATGGTAAAATTTCAGAATTAAAGTCTACATTGGCAGTAAAAGAGAGAGAATTTGACACTAACATTTCTTCGCTGAGGGAACAGGTAAGTCTAATAATTTGTATATTAATATTTATAGTAGTAGGTTGGTAGACAGCAACCACCCAGGGAGGTACTACCGTCCTTGCAAATGAGTGTAAAACGAAAGCCTGTAATTGTTTTACATGATGGTAGGATTACTGGTGTCTTTTGTCTGTCTCGTAAATTTGCAAGATTACAGGTACGTCTTGCTACTTCTGCTTACACTTAGGTCACACTACACATGCATGTACACGTTTATACACACTCATCTGAGTTTTCTTTGATTTTATCTTAATAGTTTTTGTTTTTTATTACTTACCCTTTTATATCACTGGGGAAGTGGAATAAGAATCTTTCCTCCGTAAGCCATGAGTGTTGTAAAAGTCAACTAAAATGCCGGGAACAATGGGCTAGTAACCCCTTTTCCTGTAATGATTACTAAAAAGAATAAGAAGAAAATTGTCAAAGTGGGATGTCTGAATGTGCGTGGATGTGCGAATGATAAGAAAGAGATGATTGTGGATGTTATGATTGAGAAGAAGCTGGATGTCCTGGCTTTAAGTGAAACAAAGCTGAAAGGGGTGGGAGAGTTTCAGTGGAGAGGAATAAATGGGATTAGGTCAGGGGTTTCAAATAGAGTTAGAGCTAAAGGAGGAGGAGCAATAATGTTGAAGGATAAGGTATGGCAGGAAAGGAGGGAGTATTAATGTATTAATTCAAGGATTATGTGGAGTAAAATAAAGATTGGATGTGAAAAGTGGGTTATAGTAAGCGTATATGCACCTGGAGAAGAGAGAAGTGTAGAGGAGAGAGAGAGAGATTTTGGGAAATGTTGAGTGAATGCATGGAGAGTTTTGAACCAAGTGTGAGAGTACTTGTGATTGGAGATTTCAATGCTAAAGTGGGTGAAAATGTTGTGGAGGGAGTAGTAGGTAAATTTAGGGTGCCAGGGGTAAATGAAAATGGGGAGCCTTTAATTGAGCTATGTGTAGAAAAAGGTTCGGTAATAAGTAATAAATATTTTATGAAAAAGAGGATAAATAAATATACAAGGTATGATATAGCACATAATGAAGTAGTTTGTTAGATTATGTATTGGTGGATAAAAGGTTCATGGGTAGGCTCCAGGATGTACATGTTTATAGAGGGGCAACTGATATATCAGATCATTATTTAGCTGTAGCCACAGTTAGAGTAAGAGGTAGATGGGACAAGAGGAAAATGGCAACAACAAGTAAGAAAGAGTTGAAAGTGTGTAAACTAAGGGAAGAGGAAGTTCGGGTGAGATATAAGCAACTATTGGCAGAAAGGTGGGCTAGTGCAAATATGAGTAGTGAGGGGGGGGGGGTTGAAGAGGGTTGGAATAGACTTAAAAATCCAGGTAAATTAGACATGTGCAACTCTTGGGTATTTTTATTAAGGAAACGTTTCGCCACACCGTGGCTTCATCAGCCCATACACAGGAGAAACTTGAAGAACAGGAGGAGAATGAGGTAATCAGTCCCTCAACCTTGAGTCGATGTTGTCAGTCCATCAATCTTGAGTAGAATACATTCTACATTCCTGTCAGACACTGCAACTTCTTGGGATCTTAGTTCTGTGAACCATTCATCTACATTAAAAATACAGTACAGTGGACCCTCGGTTATCGGCTGTAATCCATTCCAGAGGGTCGTCCGATAACCGAAATGGCTGAAAACCATTTAATGGACATACAATTAATCTGTTCCAGACATAAGTATTCAAAAAAAAAAAAAATTTTTTTTAACAATTATGTAAGTTTTACATACCTTTATTGAAGGCTAATGCTTGCTTCTGGAAGATAGGGAAGAGGAAAGAGGGAGGAGTTCGTATTTGGAAGGGGAATCCCTCTCTATAAAGACTAGATAGCAAAACCTTCTCTGGGATTACTTCCATTCTTTGTCTTTTTATGCCACTAGGACCTGCTTGAGAGTCAATGGACCCCTGTCTCACAAAATAAGGTCTGTTTCTGGCATCTCTAAGATTTCCCTGAAGTGGGACAGGGTTTTGCCACTGAACATGTTGAAGATATGGCTTGTTTCAGCTTGGTTAGGGTGGTGTTTCTCTACAAAAGCTTGCACCCTAGTCCACATTGCACACACCTTTAATCTGTCATTTACTTCTACAGTACAGTGGACCTCCTGTATTCGATATTAATCCGTTCCTGAGAGCTCATCATATGCCAAAATTATCGAAAGGCGAATTAATTTTCCCCACAAGAAATAATGGAAATCAAATTAATCCTTGCAAGACACCCAAAAGTATGAAAAAAAAAAATTTTACCACATGAAATATTAAGTTTAATGCACACAAACTGAAGAAGACATGCACAGTTTGTAGTACTCTACTAACAATAGAATACATGACACTTATCTTTAATGAAGATCTGGTGATGATTGATGGGATGGGAGGAGAGGAGAGTGTCGAACTTATTGTTTAGAAGGGGAATCCCCTTCCATTAGGACTTGAGGTAGCAAGTCCTTTTCCGGGGTTACTTCCCTTCTTTTAATGCCACTAGGACCAGCTTGAGAGTCACTGGACCTCTGACGCACAACAAATCTGTCCATAGAGCTCTGTACCTCCCGTTCCTTTACGATTTGTCTAAAATGGGCCACAACATTGTCATTGTAATAGTCACCAGCACGGCTTGCAATAGCTGCGTTAGGGTGATTTTCATCCATAAAGGTTTGCAGTTCAACTCACTGTGCACACATTTTCTTAATTTTTGAAGTAGGCACAATGGTTTCCACAACTGGCATAGGCTTCTCAGGGTTAGCCCCAAACCGTTCAAAATCTTTCTTAATTTCCATACTAATTCTCACCCTTTTTACCAGAGGGTTGGCACTGGAAGCTTTCTTGGGGCCCATGGTGACTTATTTTGCAGAAACAAGCACTAAAAACACTGATAATATGGAATGTACCGAAAGTATCCTTAGATGCGAGCACACTGGCTGGCTTGTAAACACTGGCACGCACGGGGCAGTTCAGGCCACACGTGGACACGTCTTGGACAAATTGCGCTTGGCAGGTTTTTTAACGAGTGGCGAGGCAAAATTTTTGTGTTAAAATGTATCGAATACCGGATTTAACGGATACCGATGCCATCGAATACCGGGGGACCACTGTACATTCATTACTAACCTTAACCCTTTCAGGGTTTCGGCCGTACTAGTACGGCTTACGCACCAGTGTCCATGGCGTACTAGTACGCATAAATTCTAGCGCCTTTAAATCTAGTGAGAGAAAGCAGGTATGCCTACATATGAAGAATGGGTCTATGTGGTCAGTGTGCACAGTATAAAAAAAATCCTGCAACACACAGCACATAATGAGAAAAAAAAAACTGACCATGTTTTTGGATTAAAACAGTGACTTTGCACTATATTTTTGTATGGTATTTATTGTTGTATTCTAGTTTTCCTGGTCTCATTGTATAGAATGGAAGACATATTACAGAAATTGAGATGATTTTGACTTGTTTTACAATTAAAAGTACCTTGAAATTGAGCTCAAAGTATCAGAAATGTTCGATTTTTACCAAAGTTCAGAATTAAATAAATCATGCTGAGCATCCAATACACGTCAACTGCTGAGTCTAATATTCTTTCACAAGTGCGCCAATATTATTTATACCATTTCTACACTAATGCAGTAGTCTGCATAACAGTAAATCTTTATTTTTTGTGAGAACAAAAATTCAAAGTGGAAAGCAAAAGAAGTGTAAGAGGGGCCTGGGGACATGACTAATGAATAGAGGAAATGTTATTTTAGTGCCAGGAATGTCTTTCTTGTTTATTCTGGACCCTCTTTGGAAATTGGCATCTTGAAATTTGTGTGAATTTGGCAAAATTGCTAAACTCTGACCACTGTATTGGATAGTTGAAATTGGTAAATTGATTGTTTCTTGTACTCATTCGATAGAAAAAATGGAGTTCTAGCGAAATAGTTATGATTTTTGTCGACTAGTACATTGGAATTGGCCGAAAATAGGGCTCAAAGTGGGCAAAATCGCTGATGCGTGAACATTGTTGAGACCGCTAACTTCGCGAGAGCATAATTCCGTAAGTTTTCCATCAAATTTCATACTTTTGGTGTCATTATGATTGGGAAAGGATTCTCTATCTTTTCATAAGAAAAAATTATTTTTTCTTTTTTAAATTTGGGGGACCTTGAGAACAAGTCTCTGAGAGGGCCTGTGGACCCTGAAAGGGTTAAAATATTTGTAGTCTTAATGTAGGGCAGAAGATGAGTAGTATTTATTTGTAGGAAGTCAGTGTAGGTAACAGTATATGTAGGTACAGTACACGTAAGTAACCCCCTCGGGCTACACTACACAGCTATGTTACAATACACAGCCATATTATTACACTACACAGCCATATTATTACCATGTTCACTGAGTTTAATTGTTTCTAACAACTACCTTTAGATGCCATCATAAACAAAGGGAGAAGTAATGAATAATTCATGCCAAGAATTGTAAACAAATGCATATGAAGGGCGATTGTTGCACCAGTCGCCAGATTCACAGTTTTCACTAACGCTGCATCAGAAAAAACGTAATGTTCACTCTCCATCCCACTCTCCACTTGATAACATATAAACATTGCATGTTTATATGCTACTTGATATGTAACATGTTACTTATATAATTTTGAAGAAAATATCATAGATGGATTAATGAAAATGTCTATATTAACATTAAATAAGCCATTTAATGTGCCAAAGAGTGATTATTAAATATACATCACATATAATAAACATTGCATGTTTATATGCTATGTAACGTGTTTCTTACATAATTCTGAAGAAGATATAGTAGATGGATTAATGAAAATGTCTATATTAATGTAAAATAAGACATTTAATGTACAAGTAATTATTATTAATATACATCACATATAAACATGGCATGTTTTTATATACAGGTCCTCCATCACAAATCCGGCATCGTTGGGACCTGTAGTGCGCTGAATTACTGAGTTTGCCGGATTACAGAGTGG